GAAATGAGCAGGAATAGATAAGGTGATAGCGGATCACCTTGTCTAATTCCTCTGGAAGGTATCACATAGCCTTTAGGTTCCCCATTGATGTTGAAAGAAAAAGAAGCTGTCGAAACACACTCCATTATCCAGTTGATCCAAGTGCTACAGAATCCCATTTTTTCCATGATTGCTTCCAAGTATCCCCACTCCACTCTGTCGTAAGCTTTTGACATATCTAACTTTAGAGCCATAAAACCTTGTAGACCTTGCCTTTTGTTTTTGAGAAAATGTAAGTACTCATGAGATATAATAACATTATCCAGAATTTGTCTTCCAGGAATGAAAGCTGCCTGGTTTTTGCTAATGCATCTGTGCAAGACTTTTTTCAATCTATTTGCCAAAATTTTGGAAATGATTTTGTAAAGCACATTACAAAGGCTTATTGGCCTGAACTGTTTAACCTCAGTGGGGTTATCTACTTTGGGGATAAGGGATATAATGGTATGGTTTGTTGCCTTCAACATATGCCTAGAATGGAAGAAGCTCTTAATGGCTTGGATGACATCGTGTTTGAGAATGTGTCAAAATTTTTGAAAGAAAAGTGGTGTCATTCCATCTGGGCCAGGAGCTTTGGTTGGGTGCATAGAAAAAAGTGCTTCTTTGATTTCTTTCTCCCTAACAGGCTGAGTGAGGTCTGTGTTCATGTGGTTAGTAATGGTTTGTGATATTCCCTCTAGAACCACATCTGAAGGATTCGTCCCCTTACTACTGAAAAGGTCAGAGAATTGCTTCACAACTTCTTCTCCAATTTCATCATCTGACTTAGCCCAGGATCTGTCCAGCCTTTGTATCTGTTGCATGCAGTTGCGCTTCCTATGCCCCTTTACCCTTGCATGGAAATATTGAGTATTCCTATCCCCTTCCTTAAGCCATTGAACTCTAGATTTTTGGCTCTAGAAAAGCTCCTCTTCCTCATAAGCTTCCTTAAGTTGCATTTTAAGAACCTTTTTTCTTTCCCTTATGTCCTCACAATCAGAGGTTTGGAGATCACTCAAGAGTTTTTTAAGGCTTTTAATTTTCTTCCTAGCATTTCCTGGAAAATTGTTTTTCCATCTCAAAATGGCCAGCCTACATTTTGCTATCTTCCTATGCACTTTATACATATAAGAGCCTGATTGTTCCTCTTCCCACTCCTGCTTCACTACTTGTTGCAGTCCTTCTTTTTTCAGCCATCTTCTATCAAACAGGAACCTGCTCTTCCTCTTCATTTGTAGAGGATTGGAGTCTAACAAGATCATGCTATGGTCAGAGCCAAAATTTTCCATGTGTTTGACTGTCGTTCGGTCAAAAATTTGGCTCCAATCACTACTCGCCAATGATCTATCCAGCCTTTGTTTAATCTTTCCCTGTTGAGCCCAATGATTACTCCAAGTCCAGGGATTGCCTTCATATCCTAAATCAATGAGGCCATTTTGTTCAATAAAGCTCCTGAAGTATTTGAAAGTTCCTTCCTCCCTTTTTCTACCCCCCCATTTCTCCTCATTTGATATGATGTCATTGAAATCGCCAGTAATCACCCATCTAGAACCCCATAAAATTTTCCTTCTCTCCACGACTTCCCACTGGCGTCTCCTGATTTGGTCATCAGTGCTAGCATAAATTCCTATGAACCACCAGTCTACATCATGATCAGTGTCCATTATGTGAATTTCCATGGTGAAAGCAGTGGTTTTAACCTCCAAAACTTTTACTTCAGTATTCCAAAATATAGCCATGCCCCCTGATTTATTCATAGATTCCACCACCACACTCTCTTCGAATCTCAACTTCCTTTGAACTTTCTCCATGAATTGTTTTCTATTTTTAGTCTCACACAAAATGACCATATTAGGGGAGAGGAGGTTGCAAGCCTCCTTCAACTGGGGAATTGTCAAGGGGCTCCCAGCACCTTGACAATTCCACACCAGTGCTTTCATTTATCCATTGGTGACCAGGTTGGGCTGGTCACCTCCCCCTCTCCAAAGTTTGCACTGCTTGCTTGATTAGCTTCCCTCTTTCCCTTTTTTCCAACTGATTCTGTCACTATTGCATCCTCCATTACTTCATCCACTAGCTGGAATTTTCTCTTGGCAGCAGAGTTCGTAGAGTTCCCACATTTCTGTGCATCAGCCAATAGTTTTCTTTTGATCACTGGAGTTCTTAAAGTTTTGGCTTTAGATCTTCTAGTTGTTACCAGTTTATTTGTTTCCTCTAAGACCTCCAACTGTTCTTCCACCTGCATGTTCTCAGTTACCTGTTCATTTAATACATGATCCACAGGCCTTTCCAACACTACATTGAGATTACCTCCACGAATATTCCATGCAGAAGTTTCCAGTTCCTGAGTTTCTTTACCCACTTTAGCTTCCTTACTCTCCTCCTTGTCTGTCACCTTGGCTTTGGCTTGAGTTAACATGGTGGATTCTGCTTGTTCTCCACTCTTATTTTTCACATTTTCGTTTCTCAGAATCTCTGGAACACTCCTCTCTACTAACTCCCTTCCATTTGGTTTTGGAATAAGTTCTCCATCCTTAAATCCCCACTTTTGCTTGCTAGGAGATCTAGATGCAGGTTGTGGACCTCTTGATTCTTTTTGCGGTGATGATTTCCCCCCCCAGCTCTGAGCCATGGTCCAAATTGGTTATCCTGGTGACCTTTTCCCAGTTGTATTCCATCTGAGCAATTTCTTTCACTGTGTCCTATTTTGCCACAAGTGTAGCAGAAATCAGGGCATCTTTCATACTTGAAGCTTAGCCATTTCACTTTCCCTTCCAGTTTAACCATAGTACCCCTCATGAGAGGTTCAGAGATATCTGCCAAAACCAGAATTTTAATGTGTCTGCCTTCTTTACCCCCTCCTTGGGGTATGATCACTTCTTTTGTTTCATGGAAAACTGAAGCTATTTTCTTTCCCACCTCCTTTGATATCCAGTGCACTGGGAGGTTCCAAACTTGAATCCATAATGGGGCTATATTAAATTCCACTTCATTCTCTTCAAATCCTTCAAACCACGGTCTGATTACGAGTATCTGTCTATCAATAACCCACGGACCCCCTGTACAAATCCGTTCCCTATCCTTCACATTGGCCATGAAAAACTGAAAGGTATTGACTCCTACCTCCACCACCCTTAGGCCTTTGGGATAACCCCATGCCAGAGTTACAAAATTTTTAACTCCCACAAAGTTGATTACCTTTTCACCTTTTATCTTCCCCACCAGGCTTTCCTCACATTCCTTAACACTGGGACAGACATCCCCCAATTCTAGTTCTGTACCACCCAGTTCTTTTGTAGATAAAGCAAACTTTTGCAATATCTCAATTATTTCCTCTGCCATCGAAACCTACTGGTGTTCTATAAGGGAATATCACAAAAGAGCGCAGAACAGAGTAAAGGACCAGGGTTTAAGGAAGCGAAAACAGGGTTGACCTTCAAAACTCTTCCGAACAGAGAATGAGGTGCGCACTAAAGGTAATGAACCGCTCAGGTGAATAAAGCCAAAGTAACTAACTTACAAACACCATATAAAAACATAGAGAAGCCACACTGTTAAAAACTGAGTGTTTGTCCAACGCAAAAAGTAAAGCTGCCTTCACTTTAAACGCAGACCATTTTCAAAGTTTTCACTTTTTTTGATAAATACTCTTTTTTTTTTCCTGTGAATAAAACAAAACGGATGAAAAGCGACAAAAAGATGCTTGCTACTACCCCGCCAGAGTACTTACAGGAGTCGGCAAGATCCTCTTGGTAAAAGCTTTAAGGTTGTCTGTCGACGCTTAAGACCCGACAGAGTAAAATGTGGATCCTGGTACTGCTGTTCCTTTATTTGCACCAATGAGAACTAAAGATGAGATCTTGTCGGGAGTTCTTTAATGCTGACATTGGGTCTTTTGGATTCACTTGAAAGCTGAAACAACGAAATTTTGTTGTCTTCCAGATGGTAAATTTAGTGCCCTATTATTCTACTAAGTTCAGACAGAGAGTTATGCCAACCTCCCAAGGAAGGAGATTTGCACACTTCCCAATAGAGAGAAAATATGAACTCCCAAGAAGAGAGAAAATGCTCGTGATATGACTCACGGAAACTCAGTCATGATGCTTTGTTTAATATCCTATTCGTACCGATGAGATAACCCCTTTTTGCTGAGACTTTTTCTTGAACTTATGAGGCCCTGATCCAATTTACATCAGGTTGTGGCTGCAAACAGAAAATCTTTTCAGTTGATCAGAAATGGATTTGAAAATTTATGCAATTGAAAATTAACAGTGGAGGTTCACAACCATGATTGATAAGCACTAAACAGGGGGTACTTTTAAAAACATTATCATGTGTATTAGTTGATGGGCGTAAATGTCAACCTCATTACAAATGTTTTATTTTCTCTATAATAAATTATTCAAATGAGTAAATCTTATATACACTGACAGTGTATACACTATCACCGCTTGATTCATGACATGTGTGCAAAAGTTGAATTTACATCATTTTCATTATTTAACAATCCCATTTCTCTGAAATTAACTTATATGAACTTTGAAACGTTCCGGATTTTGTGGTGTAAGAAATTTGAATACTCCTAAACAAAGACTTTTTAAGGGTCCAATAGTCCTTGGAACAGATGCAACTCAATTTTGTTTTCTTTTGGCAGAAAGATGCAATTCCCCTGGATGTTGCTTCTTAGAATATATCTGCTTGAGAAGAAGCCATTGTTCTTCTTGTTTTTTTTTGGGTACATTCTTACAGATGTCAAATCATCATCTGGTAGACAAGTGATCACCAGATCTATAGTTTGAGCCATTACTGCTAGTCAGAGCATTACTGTCTACATAGGTTGAGCCATGAGGCTTGTCTTCATTCAAGATTTACGACTAAAACTCCTCTCCTAATTGCTACTCATTTACCACTTCAATCTTATAACTACTAGGACTCAGAGAAAACCGTGTGTACACAACATCCATCCTCAGTACTAGTGATCAATGAGTTCAAAATACTTACTCTCCTCTCTCCTCTTCTTGTTAGGTTGGATAATCAGTTTTCCTATATGCCCGACAATTGGAGCATCATTAGCTAAGCCAGGGTGCAATGATACTTGTGGTGATGTTCTCATCCCCTACCCGTTCGGGCTGAGTCCTGGCTGCGCTCTTAAAAGATCATACATCATAATTTGCAATTCTTCCAAGCCATATCTAAGCAGCCTCAACCTGGAAGTGTTGAATATATCGCTATGGAACCAAACAGTCACGGTAAATGCCCCGTTGACTAATTTTTGCAGCTCTCATCAAGCTCAAAGGAGCAGCACCAGTTGGATTAGCTCCGATCTTGTGGGAACCCCTTTCTTGTACGCACAAAAGTACAACAAACTGGTGCTTTTTGGGTGTGGAAATGCCGTACTAAACCAAGAAGAAAACAAGATTTTGTGCGGGTGTACGTCGACATGTGAACTCAACAGTTCTGATCAAACAACTAGAGCTACAAGTTGTTACGGGGTTAATAGTTGCGAATCAACAATTCCTTTCTATCTCACCAAATACAACCTGAATTTCAGGGACTCAACAGTTAACCGCTCAGGGTACTGCCCATCTATGTTCTTGGTAGATAAAAACTGGTTACCGGAGAAATTTTCAGAATTTTTGCAACTTATTCCGGTTGTTTTGGCCTGGACACTATCACAAGCCGATGCGACAGCGGCTTGTGATTGTTTCCCCTTCAGTGACCGTCTCTACCTGAATTCCGAGGCATACGTCCAATCTTTTGCTTGTCCAGTTTGCGGATTTGGCATGTATTTCCCTGATACTAACCCATATCTATCACCACAATGCGTAAGGCCAGGTACGATCGAGTGACATTGCATTTAAACACTTTTCTAATTGAACCTTGTCTTCCAATTTCTTTTCGTCTGTGTAGGGATACCCATTGATGCTAACTCGAGGACGAAGGACGGGAAACAAGCTCTTGTAGGTGAGACACCCTTTAATTCTCTGTTTTACTTCAACAATAATTTTGGTATCTCTTCTTTTATAGAATAAGCCTTAAGAGAAAGCAAAATATTCGATCCATAGAGAATTGTGATAATATGTATGTTCCCGACTTCAACTTTCCTAAATGCATCTTTAACGGGTAATAAATCGTATTTTCTCGTAGAGTAGAGAGGGGGACAAAACCATGATTGTGGGAGCACAGTCCTTTTGGCCGTCCTAATCTTTGGGAGCAAAGTTTAGATTGACATATAGAAGTGATGTATTCCTTAAGTTTTAGACATTATGTAGAATAATATCAGTTTTTTTTTTTAAGAAGAATTTGAAACTGTTTGAACTTCATGGAAATTGAAGTGTATATATACATACCCACATATAATTTAAAATTACTTTTATCAAGTTTATGCCAAAGTTGATTTGAAATATATTATTCCCTATAATGATTAAGTACCTTTTCATTTTTTTGATTTTTGATAATTAAGTACTTACTTTGAGTCTTTTGACTAATTATTCTTTTCCCCTTTTTCTTTTAGTATTTCTTCTTTTCCTTTTCCCTTTTTTTTTATTCCTCTTTCTTTTTTCAAGCTTCTTTCGAACTTATGTGGCAAAGAATACCCAGAGGAGGCATAAGAGGAGCATCTGTACTAATAAGAATTATACAGAACAAAGACACCATGCCTTGTTTTCAAGCTTGTACCACACTTAACTTTTACTCCGCAAATCTCTATGGGAATATGTGTTGGTCTACCAATCAACTATTAGCTGCAAATTCGTAACGTCTTTTGCAAACTAGTCGCACAACTATTTGCACTTGGAAATTGGTAGAGCTGATGAGGCAGAACTGTGGTCAAATTGTTTTGGCGCTGACCAAGAAAACAAATGAAAAAGCCTCAATTTCCCACTTTGGAACAAACCATGGTACTATTATGAATTTTGCAGGTGTTTTCACAAGCATAGGTGCGTTACTTATCATAGCTGCTAGTTCTACCATGTACAAACTAGTAAAAAGGAGAAGAAACAGAAGGATCAAGAAGAAAATCTTTAAACGAAATGGAGGTCTTCTGTTGGAACAGCAGTTACATACTGATGATAGTGCCATGGAAAGGACAAGGATTTTTGCAGAAAATGAGTTGGCTAAGGCCAGTGACCAATTCAGTGAGGATCGCATACTTGGACGAGGTGGGCAAGGAACAGTTTACAAAGGAATGCTAACTGATGGAAAAATTGTAGCAATCAAAAAGTCAATGAAGGTGGATGAAAGCCAGTTAGAGCCATTCATCAATGAGGTTGTCATTCTTTCACAAGTCAATCACAGGAATGTGGTAAAACTACTAGGTTGTTGCTTGGAGACAGAAGTTCCTTTATTGGTATATGAATTTATTCCTAATGGAACTCTCTCTAGCCTCATTCATAATCATATCGATGATGAGTTCCCCTTCACTTGGAACTTCAGATTAAGAATAGCAGGTGAAATAGCAGGAGCTTTGGCATATCTACACTCGGCAATCTCAATTCCCATCTACCATAGAGATATTAAGTCCAGCAACATACTTTTGGATGAAAAGTACACAGCCAAAATATCAGATTTTGGAACTTCGAGGTCCATTGGAGCAGATAAAACTCATCTAACTACACTTGTTAAAGGGACATTCGGCTACTTGGATCCGGAATACTTTCAGTCAAGCCAATTTACAGAAAAAAGTGATGTCTATAGTTTCGGAGTTGTTCTTGTTGAGCTCTTGACAAGGAAAAAGCCCATATCATTTTCTGAATCAGAAGAGGATGGTCACTTAAACTTGGCCACAAGGTTTTTGACGATGATGGATGAAAATCGTCTGGACAGTATCCTTGATCGTCAGCTTCTTGATGAGAGCATGGAGGAAGAGGTTATGGCTGTTGCTAAACTGGCCCAAAGATGCCTAGACTCAAATGGGAAAAACAGGCCAACTATGAAGGAAGTAGCCATTGAGTTGGAAAACATTCAAAGGGCGCCAAATGGTTCAACTATTCAATCACCTATTCACAGCCATATGTTCAGAGAACCTGAATTTGTATCGTTTGCTAACACAAATCCTTCATGGACAACTGAAAACGATACCATTAGCTTCGCTGCTGATGCTGATCCATTATTAGATTACAGGATTTAACTTTGAATTGGAAGCAATTCTCCTTCTCTCTAAATCAAATTGTCTCCTTGCACAAAGACTAGCTTCATCTTCCATGCGAGGGAGACCAACTGGTATCGGTCTTCCCCTCTTACGGCTTTCTCTTGCTTTTTGCATCATAAAAGCTCACCTAAGATGTTTTAGGTTCCGTTTGATAAAACTGAATCTGAAGTCTGAATTCTGAATTCTGAAATCTGAATACTGAAACAATTAATTTGCTGAATTTTAAACACTGAAAAGAAATATATGAATGTCTGAATTTTAATACTAAACCTATTAATATTGTTTCATGAACATTTATAACTGAATGTTTAATAAATTAAATTTGACAATTTTGCTCTTTTATCTTTTCATCCAAAAAAGAAATAGAACCTATGATTTAATTAGATAAAAATGTTAGGTATGAAAATGACAATATTTATTTTTAAATCAAATTAATATAAAAGATAAATTATATTATATAAGGAGTATGGAGAAGAAGTGAAAGCCATTCAAAAGGGAGAAAAGAAAAATAGAAAATCATTAGATAGAGACTATTAGATTGTTTAATTATATAAGAATTTTGAACATAATTAATAAACAATGGTAGATTTGGTAGATAAGATAAAGTACTTGAAGTAATTCTATTGATTCTTATCAGAATTAAGCATTCAGTTAGGATTCTTGTACTGAAAAAATAAACACAAGTTCAGCACTACTTAACAAGTTCAGCAAATGAATTTTCATTTATCAAACACTCAAAACATCTAAATGTCTGAAAAAGTTCAGATTCAGTACTTTTTTATGTTATCAAACAGACCCTTAGGTTCCGTTTGATAAAACTAAATCTGAATTCTGAAATCTGAATTCTGAAATTTGAATACTAAAACAATTAATTTGCTGAATTTTAAGCACTGAAAAGAAATATATGAATGTCTGAATTTTAATACTAAACCTATTAATATTGTTTGATGAACATTTATAACTGAATGTTTAATAAGGTAAATTTGACAATTTTGCCCTTTTATCTTTTCATCCAAAAAAGAAATAGAACCTATGATTTAATTAGCTAAAAATGTTAGGTATGAAAATGACAATATTTATTTTTAAATCAAATTAATATAAAAGATGAATTATATTATATAAGGAGTATGGAGAAGAAGTGAAAGCCATTCAAAAAGGAGAAAAGAAAATTAGAAAATCATTAGATAGAGAATATTAGATTGTTTAATTATATAAGAATTTTGAACATAATTAATAAATAATGGTAAATTTGGTAGATAAGATAAAGTAGTTGAAGTAATTCTATTGATTCTTATCAGAATTAAGCATTCAGTTAGGATTCTTGTGCTGAAAAAAAATACACACAAGTTCAGCACTACTTAACAAGTTCAGCAAATGAATTTTCATTTATCAAACACTCAAAACATCTCAATGGCTGAAAAAGTTCAGATTCAGCACTTTTTTATATTATCAAACAGACCCTTAGTCAAAAATTTCTCCTATCATACGTCTCCTCTCATTGTAATAATTCTCTTTCGTATGCTAATGGTCTACTACTCTTCTACAACCGCACCACTCACCATAATTGGTGCTCTTATAGGTAACCTTGTGATAAATTTCTGCTCTTAGGGTCTGAGAATTTGTTTTTTCTTCTAGCATTTTTAGTGAAGGCTTTTTCTCTTTTAGAACCTTTTAGTAAAAGTCTTTTTTAAGTCCTTTCTAGTATTTTATTTGTTAACTTTGAGTTTCAGATCTAAACTTTCTTGGATTTAATTTATTGCTGATCTTTATCCGAATTTGGAATAGTTTTTTGAGTGTCCAAGTGTAATTTTTGCTAATTTTTCAAATCTTGTTTATCTTTATTTGATTTTTCACACCTATTTGTTTCTTCGACCTATTTTAGTGTATCTTATGCCTTTAGCGTAGATTTCATGGAATGAAATGAACTTATGGCTGTAGTAAAAAAATTTTGAGATTGTAGAATGAATCGGAGATTTTGTCTAGAGATCTCAGTTTCTTTTAAGATCTTACTCCAAAATTTTAGTCAAAAATCCAAGTAGTAACAGAGTGCATGTACAATTTACAATATATAGTAAGCATGTAAATTTACTAAATACTTGCTATTCAAAATGAAAATAATCTACGTTCTTTATTGCCATATTACTCTTAATTTATAGAAATGGCACAATTTTACCATTTCAAGCCTCAAAATCATAATCAATTGGACCAAAAAATATATATATTCCTTCAAGTCATGATAAAAAGTATCTGCTTGAGGAAAGTAAATAGTCCATGCCTGTTCAGCAACCCTGCCCGAAAACTATAGACCAAAGAAGGGAACTTTAGGAGATGATTTGAGCTTGTTTTGACCACTTCATTCCAGGCATGAACCCATCTGGAATTGCCTAGCCAAGAGTACACCATCTTCATCACATATTAGTTACAGGTTAAACAAAGTCATAACTGCAATTCTTACTCCCAAACTTGATGTGCATCTGTAACTAAACTGCTGTACACAGATATGCTCAGTGTATATAGAGTTACATGCATAGTTACATCACAAAACATTGACATGCATTTTTACCAAATGATTTATTGCAAGTACAAAAATAATATTTTTAATTAGAGAAAGAGATCAAATGTAGCATTTTTGGATTTTATAGTATAGTGCAGTTACAAAAGTTGAATTCTTTGAGTATTGATTATGGTTAATTATGCAATTATAGGATCATCATAAGTTCTAGGGCTATTATATTCGCTAATCTTTTCCTTTTCTTTTTGACTCTTTGGCCTCATAAAGGAAGCTCATTCGTCATGTTTTGTTGAATTCTTATATGTACTAATGAGATATTTTTAAAAGTATTGGAGAGAGATAGCTTAAGGAATGGGGCCTCATGCTTCACAGAATTCATGAAATTGAAAATTGACAAACAAGCTGCTCGATCGTATGATTAAATTGTGAGGAGGGCATATTTTTGAACTATTAATTACCATATCCACGTAATTGATTTCAAATGTTTTTCTGTATAATAGATGGTTCAAATTATTTAATCTGAACCGACCAAGTAATTGGTTCTTCACACAAATTAATTATAGACTACTATGTTTTATCAAGAAGACAGAATAGTTAGAAATGGAAAACACTTCGGGGTGAAAAAGGTTCTTGAAAGGATAAATTACATATAACTTTCCTTGACTCTATATATTGCATATGATTCCTCTAAAATTTTGGAATATTCATGTCATCTCTATGTGGTTTTTTATAAAGTGAATAAACGGAAAGCAACGCTTGTCACAGTGTTGGACTACACGAGCTGCAAAACATGCATGTGATGAAATCGTAATATCCACTTAATATCCCTTATGATTTACATGACTATCTACTCTACCCTTATATTTTTTATATTTATCCACATAATCACCTTATGAATTTATGCAAGAAGGTTGGGTTGTTGTCCGGTTTAGCATTCAAATAAGGGCATCATTGATATTTCAACTAATAACGTTTTAATACCTTATTGGTTTTTTACATTTTAGTCAAATTTTCATTTTATATGAAACTACTAAGGGTCACTTGGTGGATTTGTAATTCCACAGGGGGTTATGTGTAATTTAACCTTCTCAAAATTGCTAGCGTGGTATGTTTTATTTCTCTTTAAATGACCATGAATGTTGTAATGTAACTGCTTTCATATTCAATTCGTAAGTGTAATCAATTCCTTCAATTAAGGAAATTAAATGAAAAGCTACTCTAATCAATCAGTTCGAACTCATTAAATCTCCAACTTTGATACTTTCTGCTGAGCCATACACGGCTTAATGAACAAAACATCACAAGTCACAATGGTTTTTCCTCGGAAGCATCACAAGGCTGAAGCTAAAATGCCAATGATGAAAGAAACAACTCCAACAAAAACACCACATGCTTTTTGATGCAGAAGTTGTCATGTTTCGAATGCCCCTTCGAAACTTGTTTACAAATGCTGAAGGTTAAAAGGGAACAAGTTTCGAAAATGAATTTTGCTCAAATAAATAAAAAAGAAAAAATTAAATTTATATTCATTGATTTTGATCCAAGGTTTCTACATTCTAGCTCTTTCACAATTCACATTAGTTAGAAGTCAAAGGGTTTGTTTGGACTAACTTGATTTCAGATAAAATAATTTGCTTCACAAATTTCAACCACCTTTTTATCTTCTCAATCACCTTTTTATCTCACATATATCACATCACAAAAAGTGCTACTGTAATTATCTCAAATAAATCATCTAAACAAACTCCTATCAAATCATTCCCCAATTCTTCCGCTTTTTCTACAGACCTAAGCTCCTTTTTTGCGCCGCATCCATTAAACAAAGGAGAAGCCCGGACTACCATCCTCCAGCCTACTGCCTTCCCAACATTTGTTTCAAAATTTTCATTGCCGACTTGACCGGAAGTACCCCACATGTAAGTGGCTGTCCATCTCTGACAGGTGTCGTGCTTATGCAATAATAAATACCTGCTTAAGAAAAATAAATTTTCTGTGTATAGTAGTAAGCAGGGTCGAATCCACAGGCACTGGAAAAAATTTGATTCTTTTTAAATTCGAGACACGGGGGATTTTTATCAAAATGAAATTAAAAATAAATAATTAAACAATTTAACTAAAAATAATTAACCAAAAATAAATAATTAATTAATACAATTTCAAATAGCAATTAAATAAATGATAAATAAATTCTAGCCAAGGATACAACTACTCAGACACAGTCCATTCATCCGATCATTGATGCAAAGAAGGTTCACTTAATTTTATTAATAGGTTAGTTATAGTCGCCGATAAAATCTAACGACCAGCTTTTCCTTAATTTATTGATAACCAAAGTACGACCGTTGATTACCCCTAACCAGGAAATACTCCTAGGTACGACCGTAGGAATTAATTTCCTAATTGCATTAAAAACTAGAAAAGCCTAACCCAAATTAATAACACGCTACGAGGGTTATTTAAATCAGATTGCATGTCCCCCTAGTATGTGAAAATACTAGTTGTCACTAATATTAATCAACTAAACAATTACGGATTTAATTGATTAATTTGACAAGAGATTAATAAGTCAAATTGCACATCGGGCCCTTGATATCCAATTAACAAAATAATCCCATGGAAATTAAAATAGAAAACATGCAAATATTAATAAATTAAGGAACACGTAAAATTAATTAGATCTCACAGATATTTGGGACTGCGTCTTCGCATTGATCCTTGACTAGAGGAGAAAATTAGCCACGCCTCATAAGAAAATCTTCACACAATTCAATTGAATTTAAAGACATCATCTTTCTTCGATAATTGAGAGAGTGAATAACAAAGCTCTCGGAAGAGAATAAGAAAATTGCACACTAGAATTCAACAAACCAAAACAACTCCCTATTCTCTCCTCTGGAACATCCCTCGGAGAGAAAACTAAAAACTCCTCTATCCTCCTACGGAGCTTATTTTGAGAGAAAACTCCAAAACTAAAAACTTCTCTTCCCAGACGGAAGAGAAGAAGAAAAACTGACTCTCGAAATGTGCGGCTCTCCCACAAATAAAAACAAGCCAATTCGAAACTTCACTCCACGCTCACAAAAGAAAACATTCCTTCCCTACCTAATCAACTCCACCGAAAACAAAAGCAAAGCCAACTATGGTTTGTCGGTTTCCTTTGACCAAGTGCACACGTTCACAAATAAGAGAGCAAACCAAAAATGTGTCTTTACACAATGGTCAAGTCTTCGTGGTCCCCACCTAATTGAGATGTTGGCCAGCCAAATGCAATTCAATTCCTTTTCATCATAGAAAGAAATGGACGTTGGTTTACACCATGCATATGGGCCAATTGTATAGAGTTTCACAATAATCTTCTCAAGAAGGTTTCTGCTCCACTTTCTGAAAGTATATCCAAATACCAAATATAAATATATATTGACAATTAAAGCAATATTTGGCAAGGATAAAGAGGAGAATTAACAATAAAATTACTAACAATTAACACCCTATCAATCTCACTTCATCCTCATGCTAAGATAAAGGAATAATCAGGTCAGATCTAGTGGCCTATTCCAAATGAACTTCGACCCTTCTTTTTTTTTTTTTTTGGCTGAGATAGCTTAACGAATTTGATCTCCATGCCTCACAAATGTTATGCAATGAAAGGTTAACAGAAGAGCTGCGCTGCCATGATTCGATAGCTAAGAGGGCATACTTTGAAATATATTACATATGTAAGAATTGATGCGCGTAAAGTTGGCCACATTTCAAATGATTTTTCTTTTTTAACCTATAAAATCCTCATTTCGAATATTTTTTTTCCCTTCAAATTTATGCCATATTTATTATTTAACAATCCCATTTCTCTAGAGTCAATTTATAAACTTTGAAGCATTCCAGATTTTGTGATGTAAGAGATTTTAATATAGTCCTAACAAAGACTTGAGGGTCCAGTTGTCTGGGAACAGATGTAACTCTTTCTTTCTTTTCTTTTCTTTTCCTTTGGTAGAAATATGTAATTCCAGGAAAAGCCAATTTTCATTTTGATTTGGAGTACAGATGTCCATTATTATGTTGTAAAGATAGAAAGAACAGTGTTGACTTGCAACTGCTACAGCTCATTGCTGTCCATATATATTAGTTTAACAGATGAGCCTTGTGTTCATCCAGGCTCTATCTCTGAAAACTCTTTTCCAAATTGCTACACAACTCCCACTTAGTATAAACCAAAAACTACTAGGATTAGATAAAACTTTTTTTTCCACGTACATCAATCATCAGTACTCGTGAGTGATCAATGGGTTCAAAATGCTTATTCTCCTCTCTCCTGATCTTGTTAGCTTGGATCATCACCTTTCCTATATGCCCAACAACTGGAGCATCATTAGCTAAGCCAGGATGCAGTGATTCCTGTGGCAATGTTCTCATCCCCTACCCATTCGGGCTAAGTCGTCGCTGCGCTGTCAATCAATCATACATCATAATTTGCAATTCTTCCAAGCCATATCTAAGCAACCTCAATCTTGAAGTGTTGAACATATCGTTAGAAAACCAAACAGTCACAGTAAATTCCTCGTTAGCTAGTTTTTGCAACGCTGATCAAGCCCAGAGAAATGGTAGCAGCACCAGCTGGATTAGCTCCGATCTTGCCGGAACCCCTTTCTTCTACTCACAAATATACAACAAAATGATGCTTTTTGGGTGTGGAAATGCTGTACTAAATCAAGCAGACAACAAGATCTTGTCCGGTTGCACGTCCACTTGTGAATTCAACGCTTCTGATCTAGCAACTTATAGTTCATCGAGGTGTTATGGGGTGAATTGTTGTGAAACAATAATTCCTTTCTACCTCTCAAAATACAATCTGAATTTCAGGGGTTCAAGATTCAACAGATCAGGACAGTGCTCAACTACGTTTTTGGTGGATCAAAACTGGTTACCAGAGAAATTTTCAGAATCCTTGCAATTTATTCCGGTTGTTTTGGCCTGGACTCTATCACAAGCTGATGCGACCGCCGTTGTTAATTGTACTTACGTCAGTGGCTCTTTTTACTTGGATTCCGGGGAACATGTGGAAAATTTTGTATGTGCATTTTGCGGCTCAGATATCAATCCATACCTACAATCAGAATGCGGCAGCCCTAGTAAGATATCAAAATATGGGTTTCTATTTCCATTCTTTTCTTGTTACTTTTCTGCATCTGATTAAATAAGGAACATCTTGTGTAACAATATCTATTTGTTTGCGTATGAAGGATTTATGACGAACGTGAAAGCAGCTGGACTTATTGGTAAGAAACCCTTCAGTTCTTTGTTTTACTGCGAGATTATAACTTTGGTGTTCTTAGAATGATATTAGATTGCAATAAGGAGCTTGATGATGTACATATGCTTGATTTTAACATTTCTAAATGTGTATCTATGGGATAAAAGGTAAAAATGATGTGTTATTCATTGACTTTACTCCCTAGGTACTTATTCTGACTAGTTCTTCTTCCCCTCATTCTTTAATTTCTTCTCTCTCTTTACCATTTTCCATCTCCCTACCCCTTTCCTCCTTTTTCCTTCAAGCTTCCTTCAAAATCCTATGACCAAGAAACACATGTCATAATGGTAGGACAATTCAATCACCAAAGAAGAGTCTCTAGTCCAATAGTAATAGAACATTGAAAATTAAGATATGGTAGAAAAAAAATTGCCCTTCTATAAAAATTACATGTCATTTTTGTTACATTTACGTGACGTTATTCAAACTGTAAATTTCATAGTTACTATTCTATTAGCTAAATCTTGATCTTTAGAAGTTTGGAACGGTTATTTGCCCCTGTTTAGGTAGAAAATCAATTAGTAATCAAGACTGAAAATATTCCTTGTTTTCAAATTCTACGCCTTCTTGCACTAGGTAATTCAAAGATCTTGACATAAGAGAAAATATGCCATCGTTGACTTGAATAATTTTTCCTTAGATGGCTAGATTAGTTAAGTACTAGTTCTTCCTCTCCCATACCTTTTTATATCTTTTATCCTTTCCATTTTCCACCCGTCTACCCTTTCCAACTTTTTACTTCAACCTGTGACAAAGAAGTACAAGTGGTAGAACATTTGAACCAGTCACTCAATTGAAAACAAAATCCATGGGTAGAACATCAATTAAATATTAAGAAGGCGTTTTAAAACAAATTAAATTAAACAAATTCCTTGTTTTCAAACATGCACCATAGTAGACCTTGACTTGTCAAATAAATGTGATAACATACATTAGTCTACCAAATTGACAAAAACAAACCATCATGCCATTATAAATTTTGCAGGTGTTTTTATAAGCATAGGTGTTTTATTTCTCATAGCTGCTAGTTTTGCCGTGTACAAACTAGTAAAGAGAAGAAGAAACAAAAGGATCAGGGATAAGTTTTTTAAAAGAAATGGAGGTCTTTTATTACAGCAGCAATTATCTGCTGATGATAGTGTCATTAAAAGAACAAGGATTTTCAAAGAAAATGAGTTGGCCAAGGCCAGTGACCAATTCAGTGAAGATCGAATACTTGGAAGAGGCGGGCAAGGAACAGTTTACAAAGGAATGCTAACCGATGGAAAAATTGTGGCAATCAAAAGGTCAATGAAGGTGGATGAAAGCCAGTTAGAACCATTCATCAATGAGGTTGTCATTCTTTCACAAGTCAATCACAGGAATGTGGTAAAACTACTAGGTTGTTGCTTAGAGACAGAAGTACCTCTATTGGTATATGAATTCATCCCTAATGGAACGCTCTCTAGCCTCATTCATAATCATATCGATGATGAGTTTCCCTTCACTTGGAACTTCAGATTAAGAATAGCAGGTGAAATAGCAGAAGCTTTGGCATATCTACACTCGGCAATCTCAATTCCTATCTACCATCGAGATATCAAGTCAAGCAACATACTTCTGGATGAAAAGTACATAGCCAAGGTATCGGATTTTGGAACTTCAAGATCCATCGGAGCTGATAAAACTCATCTAACTACACTCGTTAAAGGAACTTTTGGCTACTTGGATCCGGAATACTTTCAGTCAAGCCAATTTACAGAGAAAAGCGATGTCTATAGTTTTGGGGTTGTTCTTGTTGAGCTCTTGACAAGAAAAAAGCCCATATCATCGTCTGAATCAGAAGAAGATGGTAACTTAAATTTGGCCACAAGTTTTTCAACGATGATGGATGAAAATCGTCTTGACAGTATTCTTGATTGTCAACTTCTAGATGAGAGCATTAAGGAAGAGGTTATTTCTGTTGCTAAACTGGCTCAAAGATGCCTAGATTCAAATGGAAAAAACAGGCCAACTATGAAGGAAGTAGCCATTGAGTTGGAAAACATTAGAAGGGCGGCAAATGGTTCAACTGTTCACAGCCAATTGTTCGAGAAAGGAGAGTGTGAATCTGTTTTTTCAGCTGATACTAAAACTTCGTGAACAACCGAAAATGATAGCAATAGGTTAGTTCCAGATGCCTGTCCACTATTGCTATGTGATACAATTTAACTTTGAAATCGTAAAATGTACAGGAGATTTTACCTTGAGATGTATAATCTTAGTTTTGCTATCATTGTGATTCTTTCTCTTCTTTCTTTCTTTCTTTCTTTTTTTTTTTTTTTTTTGTACTTCTGATTTATCAAAGTAAGTTGATCCACGCCCACTGTTTATGGATTTGAATTCCCATGAAAGCAGGCTTGTACACTTATAAGCAAGTTATATTCCAGTCTAGGGAAACAAAAACATTTATGAAATTGAATGGGATTCTTAAAGTTTCTCGTCATACTACCTTTTTTTCTTCATTAGGAGCCATAGTTTTGTTACGTTGCTTTAATTTTCAATCAGTAAGTGTAATTGCTACTCTCATGTTGATATGTCATTAAAGAATTAAAAGATTCTCATACTAAATACGGAATTTGATTAAATTTCCTAATTCAAAATTTCTCTTGCTTCAAACAAGGCTTAATATGAACAAAACATGACAATTGTCAAGTCGCAAAATTCTTTCTTGTCAGATCTTCCCATTTACTCCTAATTTAAAGCATAAATAGTCCAGCTAAAGCATAAAAGGAAAGCTATGAGTAAAGAAATTTATGCTCAAACTGAATTTTGCTCAAGTTCCTTTCTTTTTTTTTTTTGAAGGACTATACATTCAGTTGAATATCCGCTATGAAAATGGAAACAACTACCAGAGTAACTATTCAATTGCATCCAGTCTTTTATGAAACTGAAGTAGATATAAAGGTGAAGAAAAAACAGAATGGTATGAATATTTTTGTGAGCGAACTGCGAACTCATTGAAATTATACCTTGCATCTATCTAAACCTTCCCTAAGAATTTTCAATTGCTAGTTCTTTTTTTTTTCCCTCAGTCAATCAAATCACTGCTCCTAGCTAGAACATCATCAATATCTTCATTAGAAAGTTGCTGAAAATCCGGCAACTCCATATGCTCGGTTTGCTAAGGATTTCGGTGCAGCTGTTGATTCCCAGATTGCAGAAAGTTTGGTGGCACTGGATCTTGGAGATTTTCAGGATTGCCAAATGCTGCCTGATAAAGCTCATCCATCTTGTCGTCAATCATCCGCTGGTCTATACTTTTAGCTTGGCAATGCGGATTTGGCACCTCTGGATTGATCCCACCTTGCTGGAAATTTTGCGGCTCTAAATTTGGGAGACATTCAATTTGAGGAATATCTGGTCCAATTCCCTGCAGCTCATTTATCATCTCCTCAATCTCCTCACGACTTTGATTATCAACAACCTCTTGATGTTTGCTCCCATTTCCTTCTTCTCTTAAACCTCCAAGCCATTTTTCTCGTGCATTGGCTGAAATGTGCTGGTTGTTTTTCTTCTTCTCCGCCTTCTTAGCCACATGGTTTTTATTCTTCTTCTCAACCGTCTTAGCCTCAGGTGTAGGTGGGAGCCGGTTCATCAGATTGTTGTAGGCAGTAGCAAAGAATTCCTCCAATTCGATTTGCAGTGGTGTCTTCTCTGCATTATCACCTGGGAAGCTTCTCGTGATCTTGAAGTTTGATCCATCTTCGAATTTGAACCCTTTCTGTTTCCTTTTACCCTTATCTGATGAGGATGGTTCGGATAATTTAACATAGTTGTGTCGTCCCTGTCCAAAAAAAAAAAGGCAATATGGAGATCAATAGGATTTTGGACCGGTGAAAATTTTTTGTGAATATAACTACTGGTACTACAAGTGTAAAATATTGTAGAGTACTTGAACTAGGTAAATCAAGTTAATTATACCTCATGCTGTTCTGCATCTTCCAACTTATTGATGCTTTTTATGTAGTCTACCACTTCAATTACAGATCGAAATGTTCTTGGGCTCGTCGGATGAGAATAAAACTGCAGTACAAAAACTGTTCATCAATTCTACATCCAACATGATACAAAGTACAGAAAAGCCTTCACCAATTATTAGCTTTTCCGTTTATTTTTTTCCTAAAAAGTAATGGTATTGTAAAAACTAAAACCAAATCCTATGCAACTATTTTGCCAAGCCAAGTTTACACATTAAGGCGTACAAAATAGTCGGTCCATACCAATTGTATTTATCCTAAATCTATCCTAAATGAAAACGAGACAGAAAAACAAGAATAGTTGTATATATGTACAGTCCTAATTATCATTATATTGCTAATTTCTTGTGGTTAATTTACACCTATAACTTTTCTGATACAAACATAATCCATAAATGGACAAATTTCTACTTAAGCAAAGCCTAGTGCTACTTGAGTTGAAAATGCAATGTACCTTATCTCTTGCACCATTGGGGCGTTGTCTCGTTTCCATCTTCCATCCTTTCAGCAGGTCAGGGAATGGTAACAGGGCCTCCTGATTCACGCCTGGTGCCATGTCTTCCACATCATAGTCAGAAGACTCAACCTGTACACACACACACACACACACGTATATATATAGTCACAGGGACAACAACGTTACAAAACCATGGCATGATATATTTTAACTATTTATGGTTTTGGAAGTCTAAAGAAAGCTGGCCTAGGGATGAACTCACATCATTGCATAACACTAAGGCAGCCTGATTCATGGAATCTTCAGGTAGTTTGACAAATTTGAAGTAAACGGATGAAACAGCTACAATTTTTGCTGAACTTAGACGTCTTCCCCTTTCTTTCTTCTGTTGACCTTGTTCTTCATCCAGTTCAGGTGGCTGCTGCTGTTCATGGCTGGGAGGCAGCATTAGACGTTGTTCTTCAACCAGTACTGGTGGCTGGTGCTGTTCATGGTTCGGAGGTAGTATTAGTGAATATGGGACATTCGAAATTTGTGCAATTTTTTTTTTTTGGGGGAAAGAAAAAAATAAAGAATACAATCATATTTCTTCAATCTCAATTTCAAGGCATGAAAATGAACTGTTTTGCAAAAAGAAGGGATCCAATTAACTCAATGGCAAAAAACCTTAAGAGACCATTAAACCATTGTGATTGCCAAATGACTTGCAAATCTACAATTACAAATCCATCCCGAAGTGCCTTTTTTCTTTGCTCTTATTTTCCTCTCTCTCTATTTTCCATTTCTTTGCCCACATTTTAAGTTGTTTGAAATTTTTCTTTTTCGTTCTCAATTTTCAAAATCCTTTTAGGATGAAAATAATTTCACCTCAAGATAATAAAATCCAATTCATGTAGTTGACACGATTGAAAGAATGGTTATTACTGACAGATCTTCAAGTTGAATGACTTATTTGAGAAATTTTTCTTGTAATTAGTTGTTGCGTGAAAAAACCTTGCCACAGTATTAGCTTATTGACCTTTTTCGTCTAACATCAAATTAATATCATTTCGACTTGCTCAATATATATATATATATATATATATATATATATATATATAAATCATTTCGACTTTTAAAAGAAGTCCTTGCAACAATACCTCAGGTCTAACAGCATTTTCTGGCCACACAACGGAAACGGGATCGGCCATTACCACTGCATTTTCTTGTTGCACTGCTACATCCAACTGCTGCCAAATGCAAAAATGGTGCAAGTCAATTCCAAAACGTGCAAGAAGAATGAAATCTATATCGAAGCTAAATGTAAATGAGAAGTTAAAACTTTAACAAATTCTAGATTTTTTTTTCTATCTTTTAAGAGAAAGGAACAAGAAAACTACTTGAGTGTTAGAAAACTCTTTTCTTTGATTGTCACCATCTCTTTGTTCATTCAAGCCAGGTATGGGAACAAAGGGTGTTATCGCCCAGGTGCTAGTGATATCATAGGAATTCTGACTAAAGTGAGATGCCATTTCTCAAAAGATACAAGAAGAGATAAATTCAAAAGAGCCCAAAAGCTAGACAGAAAATAAAGATTGCTATTGATGAAGAAGGAAGAAATGACAACTCTTGAGAACATATCCCAGTTGGCTAAGGAGGCAGTTTTATAGTGCTAATGAGACAAAATCAAATGTGAATGTACTCATACCTCAATTTAATGAGCATTTTGGTATGTAAATTAATGGGACTTTCCAAGTTTAATCTGCCTTATCTTCTACTTTGTTCCTGTCTAAATTATTCTTTGATAGCACAAACTTAGTAGAGATTTTTGTAATTATTATCTCAATAAAAGTTTTATGATGTTAATATGTGTTTTTAAGTTTCCTTACCATATTACAGCTCCAGGGGAAAATCTCTTTCTACATTGCCTGGATTAGGATAGAAATGTCACCCCCTTTTGGAATGGCATTGCCTGGACTGTGGACACTTTATTGTACCAGATTAATAATACACTGTATATATACATCATATTTGTGCATTCTATAAGGGGAAAATTTTTTAATGCATGATGCCACAATTTTCTCTTTAATGACATTTGGTCATGTACGTAGTAGTGTTGTGCCTTAATATGATGATTCAGCTAGCTTAACAAAACCACAATCAGCATAATAGGAAAAAAATCAGGTTCAAGAAATAGAGAGGTAGCTTTCAATGTTGATTATTATGTTACTAATGTAAAGAAAGAGAATAAAATGTCCCATGGCCAGAAATAATATATATCCATATTCTATTTCTCCCAGCTTCATTGCACAAAATCTCAAACCAGATAAGAACAATTAATACTTGAGCTGGTTAATTTTCAACCTACTATTTTATGCAGAACCTAGGCCTTTCAAGTGTTTGCCTGTAGTTTATCAGAATGTGGATTCAAGGATTAGTTACAATTTAGTCAATGAACCACCAATGCCTCTCCTGATGATTGGCTGAGAGTTTGGCCATTAAGATTGGCTGAGAATTTTGCCATCAAGATTGGCTCAGACTTGAGAGGCAGTCAATTTGGTGTATTTCCAAACGTGTAATTAAACTAATTTACAAGTATGGAGATTCAAAATCCCGTAGATAGGTAAAAGATATAGGCTCATAGGCATCTTCAAACCATGGATATAACAGGATTTTTCAGTGTAAATACATCAAAGCTATTGTTTCACAATAAATTTTTGTTTATGCTACAAAAGAAAATCTAAGTTCTGCACAAATTTCATGGCCATTAACCTTAGGTTTAATTAGCGTTTGTGCTAAAATTTTTATCCTGGCTTTAAGCAAAGCTTAAACTTGGAAATTTCAATAATTTATCTTAGGTTTTCTCCATAGCTAAAAGTGGCAAAATTTTGGGTAAATCTGGTGGTCTTATAAACCTAATGACTCAAATTTTGCCACATCTTCAATAGTTGAATTTGTGAGATTGTGTGATAAATTTGAATCACTAGATCTACATAAAACATCTACGTACCCAAGTGTTTGCTACTGAAAGTAATTAAACTTAAGTTTATCAATATGAATATGGATCCTCTAAGGTGCTATATATTGTGCTCGGAGCTTGAAACTCAGAGCAAACTTTCATTACTTAAAATTCAAAAGGATAACCATGTAGAATTTTGTTGTTTGCCCAACAAGTGAATAGTTGGCTTATATATAGCTAGATTTAATTAAACCAATTTCCATCTTTCTTTATTATTATTATTTTTAAGCTTCCCATCCCTCCCCACATTTTCTCTACTGCTAATTGCCATATATAGGAGACCCTTTGAGGTATAGTCTATTAAGTGGGTCTTCAAACCCTCGTTTTGTTCTAGTGAAATCGATGTTTTCTTTTTGTATATAGAGCATGTCATTATAGTATATATAGTAAGCACAAGGAAAGGAACACTACCCCCTCGCTCAGCTCCCTCCCCCCCCCCCCAACCCTCCAATAGGTATCTTCTTACTGCTAGCTCAATAGCTCTATTGGAAGAATTACTTCAGTTAAGAGGAAGAACCCTTAACTCTAGTTCAGTCGGGTACATCTATATCCAGCAACTCCAAGCTCAAATAGCTTGAACTTCTTTAATAGTCGGCATTTGTGCGCTAGTAAGTTTCTTTTTTGGACAACATAGTACATGCGGGCATGCAGGTCTATTGATAGTTTTCTATGAATCTACGAAGTTCGATATTTCATATCTCCTTTCGAGCTATCTCTGTAGCTACAAAATGCAGGTGAAGCACGCCCGTAGGGCGAGCTGTCTCGTTGATAGATCATACATTAGGAGATTAAAACTAAAGATCTTCTTAAGTAAAGTGTCAATTTCAGAAAGTTTTACTATGAATGAAATACCAAAAGAAATGGACATTCTATTCCACATAGATTTGGTTTCACTAAAATAATGGAGAACCATTTTGTTTCAGATCCCAAAGACTCCATTTGCATTTTTTTTCCCCAGAAAATGGAAAACAACCCAAAATGATTTTAGGCCACAAAAAGATTCAGGATGATTTTGGGCCGTTTTGGAATACAATAGGGTCGTATGAACAGCAAAATTTACACTCAACGTCTTGGAAGTTCCCTCGTCTTCTTCCACTCAGGCCCTTTTGTTGGAGTTTATTTATTTTAATGGTCAACCACCAACAGAGTTTCTTGGTAATGTCTTGGTCCTATAGAGGGACCTACATGTTAATTTTCGTGGTCCTGGCGGGTCTTCGTACAAATCTCACGTCAAATTCCATCCTCGTGGTAATAACTTGTTCACACATTGAAAGGAAAGCTTTTGCATTTTTATGGCCAACACTCTGTTTCTTTCTTTTCTTCTCTGTTCTTTTTTACAATTTCTTGCGTGCTTTTATTGTCATAGTGAGCATCCACTAGAAAGGAAATTATGGGAAGGGCACAAACCTACGACACCAGTTGAAAAGAAATGGGATAATTTCATAAATCTCCTTTGAGGTTTCTGAAAGTTTCACTTAGCATCCCTCAACTTTGAAAAATATCACTTGTCTCCCTTATTTTAAACTTATTGTAACATTGTCAACCCATTTGAAAACATTATATTTAGCAACTCATTTTTTGGATAGAGGAGATGTTTTCATTCTAAAAGTGCCCTTTGTTGTCCTACTTTTTTATCAAAATTGTAAGCATGTTATAAAATGTTAAAATAAAGATATACTATACAAATGTGTAATAAAGACAAAAAAAGAAGATTATTCCTTTATTGTAAAGTGTTTTTGGTTAGTTTGAAAGGTTTTTCAAAATTTTTAATTTTTTAAGATTTTCTGAATTTCTTTTCTAGATCGATGGCATGTAAATCATAAAAAGACAAAATGTTTATGTTCACAAACTCATTTTGAGGTTTTTTCAAAGACAACAAGTCATATTTTTTAATTCGAAAGTAGTTATGGATGACATTAAGGATTTATGAATTGTGTACAAATTTTTTGAATTCTCCAATTCTTTGACTAGATCAATGGCTCGAAAACTTAAATAAGATAAAATTCTTAACTATAAATTTAAAAACTCATTTGAGGAGTTTTCAAGGTGCAAAATGTTGTTATCTTCATTGTAAAATTCTCGGGCAATTTTTAAGAATTTTCTAAATTATTTAGAATTTCAAAATTTTATCATATTTCTTGTGCAAACTAACGGCACAAAAATTAATAATAGGTCTTTCAACATGATTAGCACTTTGTAATTCCTAATTAAAAATCACATTGGCCAAGTGTTCAAAATTTAAGCGATTAACTATATTTGTTATGTAAACAAAATGGTTCACAAGAAAAGGGACAATATTAGAATGAAAATATATTCTCTATCCACAAATGAACTTTTTTAATAATATATTTTGAAATGGGTTGGCAATGTTACAAAAATTTAAAAACAAGGGAGACAAGTGATATTTTTTGAAGTTCAGGGATGCAAAATGAAATTGTTACAAATCTCAAGGGAGCTTTTTGAAATTATCCCAAAAGAAATTATTGGGAGAGCGCAAACCTACGACACCATGAGACTTTTTTTATATTCTTAATGCATTTTTTCCTTTTTTTTTTTTTGTCTCAATTTCACCAAATTAAATTTTTAATGTTTGTAGATGTGTCCCTTTACTTAGAGGATCTCCCCATTCTACCATGCAATATAATCCTCTCTCTCTAGAGGATAACACGTTCTGTATTTGGAGAAAACTTTTTGCAAGAGAAGGACATTTTTTATGCAAACTGATCTCTTAGGGAACTTGACAAATAATTCTAACATCCATTTTGACTTTTCGAAATGTATACCGTGTTTCAAAGACGTAATCGTCTTTGTTTGTGTTGGAAAGAAAATGAAAGGCCTTGCAAAGTTTTTCCACGTACGAACGTCCCAACTACGTTGCCACCATATCTAAGAAATGCCTGAGAAAGTATTACTTCATTTTTTGGAGAAGGAAGGAATAGCGTGTTATATGGTGAGGATGGAATTGGTATGCTGATGCCAACATTTCCTGAGGTCCAAATTTGTTCTATTAGTCACTTGTATGTATGAGAAACTATTTTACTTGCTCTGAGAAAAGTAAGCAAAAGTTTAATTCCATGAAGACTGGACTTTGGCTCCTCCATGAGGAAAGAAAAGGAGGAAGAAGATATAAGAAAGAAGTGATAGACTTTATTTTGGTTTGGAGAATAGCCAAGAAACCAAAGGTTTCCAATGAATACCAAATTATCAGCTTAGTGTCTTTCATTCTTTGTTAAATTCATTATCTCAAAGCAAAAACCTGCAAAGTTCTCGTATTTTCTCAAAATTTTCTCTCTTCTTTTTTTTTTTAATTTGTAAACAACCATAAATTTTATGATCAACAAATGTCCGCATTAATAGCGCAATTAACAAAGTCAAGATTAGTATGACTTGAGTTAATATGACCCAATTAGAATGATCCAAAAAGTCTCAAAATCAATTTTATTTTGAGAAAAAAGTTTCTAAAAATGCCTTATCAGTTATCACCTAACTCGGTAATAGTGCACAGAAAGGAAATTTCCAGTAAGTGACTTGGTTGACTTGTTCAGTTCATTTGCTCTATTAAACCTTTCATTCCTACGATCTCTAAAATGCTTTTGCTTCTTTTGTCACATTGATTTATACCTGTGAAGTAAACGCAGGACTAACTTAACTACAAGTTTACCACGTTAAGCTTGTTGTTAAAGAAAATGGCAGGTGTGAGGAAGCTGCAATTGGAAAGAACTCTATCGATACAATCATGCTTCCCTGAGAGCTTCTCTGGTCCAGGCTCAGGAACTTCTGATCAGGCAACCGGCTATGCTACTGCCACCATTCCACAACATGTTGTTTCGGTTCTGCTTTCTTACAATGTACCCGTTGGAGATCAATCTGATCACATCATCCAGAATGGGATGGAACTTGATAATAGGACTGTTTCTGCACAGATGCTCCATCCTCCATACTGGGAAGCCAGTTGAGTATTTCTTGTTCAATTTTGCTCTTGATTCTTGAATTTATGCTTCTGTTTCACACAATTTACCGAAAGCCCTTCTCATTTGTCTTCAATGTATGGCATTTTTGTTCATATTTTGCCTTTCAACACTATACATTTTTCAAGTCATATTGTATGATTAAGATTATGGTCAAGCATTACTTGTTGGAAAAAAAAAAGCTAATCTTAATAGATTGTTAGGGTACAAAGATGCATGTTCTGAAGTTAGGAGCTTGGGAAGAACGATTAGTCGGATCACAAACAACCACTTGAGGGGTTGTTTTACAATTAACTCTGTTGCATTATCAAATGGAACAATGAAGAAAAGAGTTTCTATTCAAGTTCTTTTCTGAAGCGGCTGTTTGTGTGGCCAGTGTTTGCGTGGGGCTGCGGGCAGGAAAAAGAGTGGGAGAGGTGGAATTCATCACAGCAAGAATATAACCTCATTCTAGGAAGAGGGATGAAGGGATTGATAATTAGGATATAATCTACCCTTGGTGTATACCATTGAGTCTATCACTCTTGTCACAGACTTTTCATATTCCTGAGTGAGTAAAGTCTTTTAAGAGTTCTTTTGCAGAACTTCTGACGCAACCTACTATGCTATTGGACGATTAATGTTTTGAATACATCTCAGACAGGAGACAAGTAGAATAAATTCCATTTATTTCACCAAAATTTGATTTTTGCAGTTAGTCTAAAGAAAATTCCTTTGGCGTGTGTTTAGACTGCAACTTTGGCGCTCTTAAAAGTGCTAAGTTCCAGGATCAGTGGATTATATTTATGACTCTTGTGGTTTTGAAATGCAGGCACTCCATCTGCCAAAAATCTTACCATTTACGTACCCTTGTACCAAGCTGCACTTAAGGGTGATTGGGAAAGGGCTAAAGCATTTATGACAAGGCATCCTGGGGCTTTAACCGCAACAATCACTAAAGGCTGGGAAAGAGCTCTCCACATTGCTGCTGGTGCCAAACAAGTCAAGTTTGTTGAGGAGTTGGTTGAATTAATGGATCCACCAGAATTGGCTGCACAAAACAAATTTGGTAACACGGCACTTTGCTTTGCAGCAGCATCTGGAATTACAAGGATTGCAGAATTGATGGTGGCAAAGAATAATGAATTGCCAATGGTGAGGGGTAGTAAAGGAGTTACACCCCTTCACATGGCAGCCTTACTAGGTTATAGAGATATGGTGTGGTATCTTGTGTCAGTAACTGATCCTCAATGTTTAACCAAAGAAGACTACGTTAGCCTGATTATTGCAACTATAAGTACCGATCTATATGGTAAGACAATATTATCATTTAATATTTGACTAATTCCAAGGGTAAGTGGATAAGGCTCATTTGGTTTCCCTTGCTGTCCTCAGATGTAGCTCTGCATATAATTCAATGCAAACCAGAATTGGCAGTTGAACGTGATCCTAACGGGGAGACAGCACTTCATGTTTTGGCACGAAAGCCTTCAGCATTCTGTTCCAAGAATGGACTGGGAGTCTGGCAGAGATGCATTTACCCTTGTAGGTTAATCTATTCCCATTGACACCTTCAACCATAGTCTCCTTTGTGTATTTTCTAGTAAAAGTATGTCTTGCAATTCAAGTTCGTCCAGCAAATCTATTACTTTCAATCAGTTGAAATTTCAGGTTATGGAAGACTAAATTTGTTTTGACATGTTTCTTTTGTCTATGGTATAAATGAATAAGGTTATCAAGCATTGCCATTTCTACCGTAGTAAGCCATGCTCAGAACAACTTTCCTTTCATGCCAACTATAAGAAAATATTAAAGGAATAGAAAACTCTGAATAAGAATGCAAGGTCATGGTATGCCCTGCACACTCACTTCCTCTCACACATGCACTGAAACTGCTAAAATGAAACCTTGATATGCAAGACAAAGTGTCTTTACACCAGTGCAGTTATCATGCAATTATTGGCATGGTGTTGAAGATTAGTTATGTGTAGGGAAAACAAACTAGCAGTCAGAATTTATGCATTTTCATGTGAACCAATTATACTAGTGGTCACCAAGCAGTTACATGTGCTAAGATATTTTCTCAGGGGTCAAACTGCACCTATGGAAGAAATCTTCTTATAAGTTTAGCAAGACGGTAGACCAGAATGACAAATGTACCAGAGGTGAGTAAATGCTGAAGCGTATACATTTACACCATATGTTGGAGGGGATAAAATTTCTGACTGACAGAATCTAAGGGAGAGACAAGTATTTTCTGCTCCAAGAAACTACTCTATTTATCTCCATTTTCTGGGAACTCAGCATTATAAAGTAAAAACTGAGTATCAGTCAGCATTTGATCTATTTTACAGTTAGTGAACATATTCCTAAATATATCTTTGCAGCGCACCTATTGTTCGATAGACTTCTTCATCGTGCAACAGAAAAGATAGGTAATGCATTGTTAACAACAGTTCTTGTTTTTTCTTTTTTGAGCAACTGACTTGAATCAGCTAAGTGGGCTAGGTTTTGTTTTACGAATGTTAGGAATCCAAGAAGTATTTGAGAGAAAACTGAAGCACTTCCAAGCTCTCGAGTTATTGAAATGCATTTGGAAACAGGTTATGTTGTTGGATGACTCGCAAATTGGGAAGTTACTCAGAGGTCCATCAAGACCTCTTTTTGTTGCTGCGGAGTGTGGAAACTTTGAGTTCATTGTTGAGCTACTGCGCTCCTATCCTGATCTCATTTGGAAGGTGGATGAACAAAGCCAAAGCTTCTTTCACATTGCAGTCATACACCGCCAAGAAAGGATCTTTAAACTAATTTACCAAATAGGAGCTCTTAAAGATTTGATTACATCTTACAAAAGCACAAATAACAGTAACATATTACACCTTGCTGCTAAGTTAGCAGCCCCAAATAGATTAAACATAGTTTCAGGAGCAGCCCTACAAATGCAGAGAGAGTTACTATGGCTTAAGGTAACTGACTTAGTTCACACATGTTGTCTACTTTCCTAGATTTAACTTGCTTTCTGTAATTGTTTAACTATGTTATTACTTTGACCATTAAAAGGAGGTAGAGAAGAATGTCCAACCGTTGTATAAGGAGATGAGGGATTCAGAAGGACGAATGCCACATATGTTATTCACTCAGGAGCACAAGGCATTACTTAAAAGTGGAGAAAGGTGGATGAAGGATACTGCCTCATCATGTATGCTTGTTGCTACACTCATAACCACTGTGATGTTTGCAGCCATCTTCACAGTACCTGGAGGCAATAATGATGAGACAGGCACACCAATTTTTCTCAAAGACAAAGCTTTCATAATCTTTTCCATATCCGATGCACTTACTCTCTTCTCATCAGTGACTTCAATCTTGATGTTCTTGTCTATTCTCACTTCACGGTATGCAGAAGTAGATTTCATGGAAACATTACCAAAGAGGTTGATCATTGGCCTTATGACACTCTTCTTCTCCATAGCTTCCATGCTTATAGCTTTTAGTGCAAGCTTTTCAATTGTACATGGCCATAAGATAGCATGGATTATCATTCCAGTGGCGCTAGCTGCTTGTATTCCTGTCTTGTTATTTGCATTTTCTCAGTTTCCCCTGGTAGCTGACATGTTTCATTCAAGTTATGGTTCAGGAATATTTGCCCAGGAACCTACAGATGTTCTTTTCTAGATCAGCTAAATGAAAATAATTATGGACTACTGTTGGATTCATATGTATTCTTTTCATTGTACTCACTACTTCAACAGTCATTCCATCCAATAAATCCAGGTCTTTCCATTTCATTAAATGTATTCTTCCATTTTAGCTGAGCATTAAAGAAGACTTATCTACTGAATGCAACACCTTATTGATCTCTCTCTCTCTCTCTCTCTCTCTGCGTTTACAATTCTCAGGAATACTAGCCTCTTGGAAATCCATTATGATTTTAAAGCATCAGTAAAGACCACTAGCATTCAAGCAGGATTACAAGATTTCAGAGATATTTTGGAGACAGCCATGAACTGGGGTACACTAGACTTGTACCTTTAATTGATCAATGATTTCAGGGTAAATTACATGTAACAACCCCCCCCCCCCCAATAGTTATGTATAAAGTTTATAAATGGTCACATAACTCCTTTATAGTTTTACGTAAAGTGAAAAATGAATTGAATATGTAATTAATTACGGCAATTAGATCATACATGCTTTAAAAGGTGCGCATGATAAAATCATAATATCCACTTAACTCCTCATAATTTGTGTAAATATCCACTTTATCTCCTATAATTTTTGTATTTATCTGTGCAGTCCTCTTATGGTTTTGTACAAGCTGGCTAAGTCATTGTTTAATTTAGTATTTAAGTAAAAGCAATATTGGTATTTCAACTAATTATGACATTACATAGACTATTTTTCTTTAAATTTTTAATTTACATAAAATTGTAGAGAGGTGAAATGAATATTTTAAAATGTTAGAATATAATATGATTATAGATGAAACTACGAGAGAGTTATTAATAGTTTACCCATGATTTCAAATGTTCTTGCACTTTTGTAAAAGGTATGTACCTCAATCACGTCGTCCAAATATTTCCAGTGACCGCAAGTACCGACTTTATCTGAGGGAGAAAAGTTGTTCCACAACTTTGAAAAAACAAAAAAGCTAGGGGAGGGGTTGACTAATGAAGATCAAACTTTAAGAAGTTAGACCACAGGTGCAAGCTTTTCCCATAAACCCTATCTGCTTTCAAATTTTATTATCCTTTGACCACATGTGCAATTTCCACTTTTTGGTCACTGGTGCCCCAATTGTGTACTGAAACTTGGCAACAGAGGATGTGCTCCTAAACTAGGCATGTTGCATCTTATTTATAGCAAGGTAAATACAGAACAGTAACACTTAATAGAGGGATTAGAACTGGCTCAAAAAATACCTTAAGGGATAACCAGCGAATGAGAGTAAACCTTGGGGAGGCTTACTGCAATAAACTTAAGTAAGGTCAAATCCTATGGAAACTGATGGAATCGGAAACTTCACCGTTTTCCATCGTTCTTTGCCACAGTTTTTGAGGTTGTGAGCCAATCAGCACAGAACACAGCCTGAATCTGTTGCTTCCCCCAAGAGAAAGTGAACCAAGAATTCCTAAAACTTTAACACCTGAAAATATGAAGAATGAGCTGGTCTTTGTTGCAGCACCAGGAAGAGGTCATATTGTTTCCGAGATCGAATTTGCAAAGCGCCTATCTGAAGTTGACCGAGGAATATCAGTAACTGTACTACTCATGAAGTCATCATCACTAGATCTTGATTCCTTCATTCAAGAATTGGCTGCCTCTGTTAGTAGCTCTAATATACAATTCATCAGCTTACCTAAGGTAGATCCACCACCTTCCGAATTGAAGAGTTCAAATGAGAGCTACTTTGCTGCTTACATAGAGAAGCATAAGTGTCTTGTCAAAGATGCAATAATTAACCATGTTCTGCCCAAATCAGGAACTCACCTTGCAGGGTTAGTGATTGATTTATTTTGCAGTTCAATGATTGATGTAGCGAATGAGCTTGGTATTCCTTCTTATGTCTTCTGCACCTCAAGTGCTGCGTTTCTTGGCCTTGTTCTTTACCTCCCAATTCGTCATTCCCTGATTGGAACTGAATTTAGCATCTCTGATCCCGATTCCAGCATTTGCTAACCTTGTACCCTCTGGAGTTTTACCATCTTTTCTGTTCAATAAACATGGTGGTTATTCGTCATTCATAAGTCATGGTACGCGGTTTCAAAAGGCAAAAGGATTCATCATAAACACATTTGCAGAATTAGAATCCCATGCCATTAATTTTCTAACATCAGATAAGGAATCACCTCAAGTTTACACAGTTGGACCTGTGATAAACCTTGACATAACAAAAAAGCTTTCTGAGTCTGATCGAAAGATTATGAAATGGCTTGATGATCAGCCCTCGTCGTCTGTGGTTTTTCTCTGCTTTGGAAGCATTGGAGGTTTTGAGCCACCCCAGTTAGCAGAAATAGCAATTGCTCTAAAGCAGAGTGGACATAGATTCTTGTGGTCTGTCCAGCCTTCACCACCAAAAGACTTCACTGCAAAACCAAAAGTCTACGCCAATTTTTCAGATGTTCTGCCAAAAGGGTTTCTGGAAAGGACGAAGGATAGAGGACTGGTGTGTGGTTGGGCACCACAAGTGGAGATTTTGAGACATCATGCAGTTGGAGGCTTTGTTTCTCATTGTGGTTGGAATTCTATCCTGGAAAGCTTGTGGAATGGTGTACCTATTGCAACATGGCCTGTTTATGGTGAGCAGCAATCTAATGCATTTCAGTTGGTGAAGGATCTGGAACTAGCTGTAGAATTGACATTGGATTACCGCTTTGAAAACTCTGATGAGATTGTAGTGGCAGATAAAATAGAGAAAGCCATTAACTGGTTAATGGATTCTGAAAATCCAGTAAGACAGAGGGTCAAAGATTTAGGAGAAAAGGGTAGAAAGGCATTGATGGATGGTGGCTCCTCATTAATCTCGTTTGGGCGCTTTATTGCAGATATTTCTGTGAACAGATTATGAACAACCAACTAATGCTCTGAGTCAAGCTTCAAGTTAGGTGGTTTAGTTTGTTTTGGTGATAGCAGTCCATCATCAGATCTAATGTTCTTGGTATTGATTGTCTTCTTCACTAACTGTTGTCAACTCAGTTAAAAATTACTACTATTATCTAGACTTTGCATTGTTTAATTTGTAACATCACTATTACAGGCATTACTGGTAACATTTCTTTACTTCCCAACAATTCCATATAAGGAAATTAAGTTGCAGGAAATCCACTCACTGTCTGGTTTTTGCACTTTGTGCTTTAGAAATCAACAGTATGTCTGATTTCTTTTCCTTATGATTGCAGTCCCACTGGACTGCTTGGATCCATGGAGAAATATGTTGGTGTGATACATGATATCATATACCTCTAGTATCACATCCATTGAAGCCTAAACTTCATTAAATGACAAGCTACATAATCCAATTATAGGAAGCAGGGAAGGTCGTCAAAGAAAAAAAGTGCACTTTCAAGCCCTCGAGTTGTTGAGATGCCTAGTATGGAAACAAACTCTTGTTATTGGGTGACTAAAAAATTTGGAGATCTACCAAGAAATGTATGCTGGAAAAATAGTATGCTGCTGAAGTGTGGCAAATCAGCCCTTGGCTCTCGTAGAAAGAGTTTGAGTTGGATTAGATATGTTTCGGTACAATACAAGTGCCCTATGAACACCCGTTAAATAAACCATTTGTTTATTTTAACGACTCCAAGTTAAGTTATTATTATGTATATAGTCAAATGCAGAAATAATAAGGTCTCAAGTGGATTGGGAGTTAGTGGCTTTATGACTATCTATTTGAAAATTTAGGATAAATTGGTGCAAAGGTTAACTTATGCCTTGCTTAAGATCAAACATTCGTGTTTAACTAGCAATGAGCACAGATCCTCTATAATCTACTCTATTGCTTTTCATGGTCCTATCATGCATCTTCTTAGGCCAATCTGAACCGTTAATTTCAAGATAAAAAAAATTAAAATAGACTCAAATTGGACTGAAGGGATGCAATCAGATTTGGACCGTGATAAATACATATAGGGATGGCAATTGCGGGCATCCGCCCCGCGGGGCCTAATGGGGTGGGGGTAGGGCAGGGCGGGGCAAGGGAATTTTTTCCCCCTGTTTAGAAACGGGGCTCCTCTGCCCTGATCCCCATCCCGCCACCCGTTAAAAAAATTAATACATATATAAATACATATATATGTATGTATATAATTATTATATAATATTTAATTTAATTAGTTACAAATTTATAATAATATTATTATTAGTTATATATATTATATATTGTATATTAGTATATGTAATTGATATTATCAATTATACATGTCTACTAATAGAAATTATTAATTAGTTATAATAAATTTACTAATATATTTATACTAAATTCCTAATTACACTTGATACAACAACACTTTTTTGTCAACAAAAATACAATAATGATTTAGTGATTGTATTTGTATCAAAAGTGAAAATTTGACTATTTTAGTTGTATTTGTTTCATCATATTGGATTGTATTCAAATAGTTTTTGTTTGATTATTTTTATGAGTTTCAATTGTGAAATTACAATAGATAATAATTTTGAGATGTATTGATATGTTAGTACTTGATTATTTGTTAAAATTTGACTATAATAAAATTATACAACAAATTTTTATTAGTCCCGCGATAGGGGTGGCAATCGGGTCGAATTCGGGTTGGCGGGTCGGATTGAGATCCGGGTATAACAGAAAACCCGCTGACCCGAACCTGACCCACCAACCCGAAACGGGTCAGGATATCTGACACGAACCCGAAAATTTCGGGTTGGCGGGTTAGCGAGTCAACCCGAAATGACCCGAAACTTAATTTTAATTTATTAATTTATCACTGTAATTTCTAATAAAATCAATTTCTCACAAAATTAATTACATAATCAAGTAATAAAAATTTAAATAAATAATTCCAAACCAAATCTAAATTAAATTAAACACCGTAAAAGTGTTTTATCCCAAACCAAATATAAAATAAATTATAACAGTATAACAGTAAAAAATAATATAATATATTATTTGTTCAAATATAATAATTTCAACTTCACACAAGTTAAATAAATTCATTTAAGATTAAGTAATTAATGCCTTTGAAAAAAAACAATAACTTAGTTTAGTTAGATAAAATAATTTTTATGTTTATTAAATTATTTTTAATTCGTAAACGG